GTAACAGCAAATGGATCATTGATGCATACTGATCATGCATCATCTTTTCCAGCTCTCATCCTCTCGTAGCTCAGTCTCTGTCCTGTTGTCCTCTGTCCTTCTTTCAGATGTTTTTATCTCCTTACTTTCTCGGTTCCTCTCCCTGCTCTTGTTGCAACTTTATTTCTAGTCCTTTCACTCTATTATCTTCTCATATCTGCAAAAATCAGACACACAGTCATTCAGTAGCCGTGTCTCTATTCAGGAGCTGCAGCCTTCAAAACACATCTTCACATCTTCGCAAACAAGGCTGTCCCATTTTGAAGGCTCCTTCAAATGCAGCCTTCTTTCCCAGAATCTGGAGGATGCAACGGATGAATCCTTCGTTGCCCAGCCTATCCCAAGATGCATTGCGTGCCGGTGATGGTTATATACTAAGTTAAGTTAACTAACATTTGTTAACGAGCTAACGGTTAACTGTTGTGAGCATTACAGTTAGCTAACAGTACACAGCTTAAACAATCTTTATTTAAAAAGTTAACCTGAAAACGGTCCATCAGCCTAAAATATATCAAACAGCGGAACCTCCGGCAGTGAATCATCTCCTCAAGTATTTAATTAAAAAAAAAAAGATATATAATAACAATCTCTGGGTCCATGATTTAGGGCTCACTAACTTACTAGCTTACTCCTTCTTTCGTCAAGCGCAGCTAGTTGCTAGGGTGAGAATAACACGTGATGCAACCAGGAAATCCTCCGCAGACCAGACTATTCCATTTCGGAGACCATTTAGTTTGGCTGATGTGGTCTTCAAAGGACATGGCCGACACGAAGGCTGCGTCCTTCAAAGGCTGCAGCTCCTGAATTGAGTCACAGCTATAGTCCTGCATTTGCATGTCACACAGAAGGATGGTCACACACAGCTCTGACGTAGGGCTCCTCGATATTGGGAAAAAACTGACATTGCGATATTTTGTTTGAAGTATATATTACGATATGAAAAACTAAAGGGATTTTTATCGGATGACTTGAATAGCTCTTTTTGGAAATAACTAATCATTAAGATAAGGGGCCTTCTTATTTTGCTCCCCTCCTGTTCCTCACTCATTTTTAAGGTTGACTGCCAACGGGGCACCTTGGTTGTTTATTAGACAGACGTTTCTTGTAGATTAACGTTAGTGTTAGCGTTTCTCTTCCACCATTGTGGCTCTGAACTTTAGCTGGGAGATGTCTAGTTTCTTTAGGGTAAGACAGTTAGCTTTAGCCTGGCTCGTAGCTGGTACTGCCTTCTACAGTGCGGCAACTGTGGGGCAAAGACAGGTCAGGAGACATCATTGTAACGTTGCAGTAAACAGATGCTTTATTTCTTTTGTGCAGCAATCCCAAAACATGGCCCCTTTTACATCCATTATGCTGGAATCTGAGCTTTTGTGTAGCTTTGGAAAAGCACACTTCATTGTGTCTGTGGCACTTGCCGTCCTGGTTACAGTACGTTTCTAAACATGCACAGAGGAGTCTAACTTTCCATATCAAAAGCTGCCATATTACGTAAAAATACACATGTAAAGCTGTCTTAAAACGGAAGGCTGGGCGGCTAACCTTAGTCATGGGAAATGGCAGCCTTGCGGGTTTTCCTTTTGTATCAAGCAGCAGCAAAGTTGTTGCATGACATATTTGACTTAATTTTCCTTACTTGATATTCCACATCCTGCAATGCAACTATTGCGCACATCACTTAATGCAATGTTGTATATTGCTGTATATTGTACAGCCCGGCTCTGAAGTCCCTTGCAGGCTTATATAAGGCCCTGACACACCAGGCTGACGTTACATTGTTGGTCAATGTTGGGCCTGCGATGGCCATCTGTTGCCCTAGTCGCTGCTCTATGTCCCTTACCGTTGGCCCTCAGAGGTCCCCATCAGGTTTCTTTGCCAGTTCAACATGCTGCATTGGCAACAACGGAGCCTGTCGGTGAATGAAATCACTCTGATTGGCAGTTCAGCTCAGTGCATGAGAAGAGAAACAGAAGTGAGGAAAGTAAACAAACAGCTAAAGTCAAGAGGGAGTGAGACTAAAACAAACTTATTTCATAAGGTAAGATTATTTTTCTGTAGCCATTGAGCTCTTTAGCAGAGATGGTTTGTGTTGTTGTTTGCTGTTGCACGGTAAATTTGCTCTGTTGTTTCAACATTAGATTATGTTGTTAATGAGCTAACTGGCTAGCTAGTGTCAAGACGGCCTTCCAGCTGTCTGTTGGCACGGAGGATTCATTGCTCTCATGCAGGCACAGAACGTCCATGCTGGTTGGCCGTTGGCTGTAATCGTTGCCATGTGTTCATGTGCAACTTTCTTGCCGAGACACCGACAACATGAAGTAACACAACAACACAGGGTCTGCTTTTGTCGCCTCTACTTGTCTGTAATAGGTTTGGTGCATCTGGGCCTGGACTCTCTCTGTCACTGGGTTTTATTTTGAGCAGAGATGTTTTGCCACTTAGCGGGAGTACAGGCAAGTGTTTTCGTCTTTGGGACGGTGAGTGTTTTTTTTCCTCACCTGCACCTGTTTAGTACTTTGGTGACTCACCATGAGTCAAAGTGGGAAGAATGAATGAATGTTTATTCCCCTGTTCGCCTGCTGGGAGTATGTCTATATAATGCAAGTTTTATTCCAATTATTGTACCAGAAAGACGGCGGAGATTCTTAAAATTACCTCTCCTCCACATCAGCTTACATGCACAAGGCCTTTACTTTCAGTTGAAAAAACTCCCTTGGCAGCCATCTTAAGGTGGTTGCCCAATCACGTGTGCCACGTGCACTTGTTTTTCCACCAAATGCTCCCAAACACTCCTCAGTTTTCACGGTTGCTCTGGTGAAGTTGGCTCAGGTTGCACCACAATTCTTATCATACCAGGTCTACAATAAAGACATCTGCTCCAATGTAGGCCGACTCGCACCTCACTCTGCTTCCCACTCCTACCTTTTTTGTGATCGGCATTAATTTTAGACTGTGTATGGATGTACACGTGCACCCCCTGAACACCTGAGCAGAAGGGAAAATAAATAAAACCTGAAATTGTTGCTGCACAGGAAGAATAAAGTTGGGTAAAAATCCATGCAGGCGAAGAGCACAATGATGGAACATCATGTTTGAGTTAATAAGTAAATAAGTTTGGAGAAATTTCTATTTACTCCACAGACATTATATTAGTCTTGTGCATGACACACTTTTACACACACAGATCTCCATAGGTGTGATTGTACCTACAGTTTATTTAGTCTTGCTACACCACAAAGTTTAAACCCATGAGGTATTTGATTCTCTGGTCGACATGCCAGTCCAGAAAACATTAACAAATATGTGAAAAACAAATTGCACCCACAAAGCCATCTGTTTTATTTTTTTTAAATTGGACTCCTAACAACCCGCGCTGCTGTTCTCCTGGAAGAGGACAGAGGTTTAAATAGGCATCTCAAAGCCATTAATGGATACAGTTGGCATACACACACACATACACACACACACAGTATTGTTTTCTCAGAGATGTTGATCTGTGTAGCTCTGTGGAGGTTTGCAGCTGAGTCCACACGGATCTCTGCAGGTCATCACTCCTTCCCACATTTCCTGTGTTTATCACACAGAAGGTCATTAGTAAACACGGAGTCATATTTTTGCACTCAGATAACACTCAGTTGTTTCAAGATTTAACATTTTTATTATACTCTGCAGCTCACATCTAACACATTTTAAGGCTTTTTAAGTTGCACAAACTGTCTCAAATATTGATCCATGATTTTTTATAGTGAAGGTAATTGTGCTTTCAGATATAGAGTTGTCTTGCTTTGGTCTGAGCCAAGGACTAATTTTATTACAAAGTTGCTTAATTGCCTAGAGTGTGTGTGTTTTAGGTGCCTTTTGAATACACTAAACAGCACTTCACAGAAACCTCCGCTGCCAACTAGTGTTTTGGAGGTGTAACTGCAGAGTGACACAGACACAAGTATAAATGCTCACAATGGCGTAGGACACATGCGTAGGGTCTGCTTAATGCCTGTGTCTTCATGTAGCAGACATGGGGTGATGTATCCCAAAAAGCCTCCTCCTGCCCTCACTCATCAACTATGTGTTATTTGGCTGTGTTTATATTTGTATAAACCCACATAACTGCCAAGCGAGATACAGACACAATCTTTAGAGATCTTTTTTTTCCTTCAGTAACAGCAGAAAAACAGCGCAGTGTCATTGTCCGCTTGTCACCTTTGCTTCAGCATCCCGCTGCGTTTGTTTTTCATTACTGACCCACATCCTCATGGGGTAGAGTTGTGTCAACACCCTGGAGCTTGTTACCACCATGTGAAACCAAAGATGACGTTTTTCATTCTGGCACTGCTTGCCTTCTCATTGTGCTCCTCTACACCTGTCCTATTTCCTGGAGCAGATGTAATTGCAGAGTAGTGGGGTGGTGGCGGTGGGGAGGGGGTTGGTTTCCCATTAGAGACTGATGGTTTTGTCTCTTCCATAATGATCTGAATTAGAGGTGGGCGAGTTTTAGTCTGGTGTCCTGCAGCTGTTTATTGCAGAGGGTTCTGGACCTGGTGATTTGGTGTCCACCTCTGCTAACGTCACAATAATGTGATGTTCTTTTATTAAATAAAACTTTATTGACCTTCAGGGTAAAAATTGGGCAGAGCAAGAGCAAACACACACACACACACACACACACACAACATCTCAGACACACAATCACATATCTGTTTCCCAGAGGTTCAGTGTTTGTTCTCAGAGTTCATCTTTAATTAATTAAAAAAAAGACTCTGCACACCTTTCCTCCTCAAATGGTTGTGATTTCTTTTTTTCTTGTGTGTGTGTGTATGTGTGTGTGTGTGTGTGTCAGACTTGGTTAAAATAAAACTGATTGTTCACCCTGGGAGGACCAGCAACCACTTTATGGTGGCTGTTGGGGATCCAGACAGAGTCAAGAATAAAAAACTTACCTCCTGCCTTTTACCTGCCTCCTGCAGGGAGGAGGAGGAGAGCCTGCGGGACAAGATTCGGGCAGATCATGAGCGAGCGCTGCAGGAGGCCAAGGAGAAGCTGAGGAAGTCACGTGAGGAGCTGCAGGCTGAGATTCAGACAGAGAAGAACAAAGTCATGGAGGACCTGAAAAAGAAGGACCTGGGGCCTAAACCTTTGCCACCCGTCCCCATGCCCAAAGTGGTGGGTGTCAGTGATGGTGAGCCGCCGGAGCCTGATGCCAAAGAGAAACGTGACAAGATCAGAGAGGTAAGATGACTTTTGTGTTTTAAATATCCTGCTCTAGGTTTACTGGGATGTATTTCTATGGTGTCATTTTGGTCCATGAACATGTGAGCACGTCATGGGATGGATGCAAGTTGTTTGACTGTGTCTTCCTGATGGGGTCGGCTACACGCTGTAGGGACTCACATTAGTATGAGTGCAGCAAGAGCAATCAAACACACACTGTGATGAAAATGCACTTAAATTAAGACTGCGAATTATAGCTGCAGCCACTTCCTTATAGTAATATCTGTTTATTATGTCAATAAATCTATCATTATCCATCTCTTTACCATTATAATAAGGACTACCTCCTCTGGCATACCTCTCGTGAACTCTAGACCTTTTATATCTTCATACTCCCACTTACTAACACATCTACATGTTGAGCTGATTAGAATTGCTTTTATTAAAGAGAAAGTGCCATTATACTTCATGGATTTCATTTAAATCAAGTATAATTAATATTTTGTAAATTCAGTATATGTATGTCAGCGTGGGACATGCAGAATTTGAGGCATTTGACAACTGTGAAAGGCAAATATCCCTAAATCAATGCCATCAGCTCCCCATTCATGCTGAATTCTGTGCAGGCCATCTTGCAATGAGGAACCATTTTGGGAGACGAGACTGGAGTGAAAAATCGAGCCACAGCATTGGTGTTTCGTGAAATTTAAACCCCAGCATGTGTGTGTGTAGTGCTGTGCAATCCTCTCTCTAGTGTTTGTCAGGCTACACACAATCCACAAGGTAATGAATTGAAATATATCATTCACTTATCCCTAATATACACACAGCACACACATGCAGTTGAGGGGAAATGCAGGGTCAGCCATGGTATGGCTGTTTGGAGCAGGGTTTTCCCTGCCTATCTAAGGACGGCCTGGGTGATTTTGGCCGCCGCCTTGGTTAAAGTGTGTGTGTGTGCATGGGGGGCGTTCAGATGTAGCGCCTTTTGTGCGCACAAACCCATTACTTTCAATGTAGACGTGCATCATGCGTGCTCACAACCCAAAGCGATGCTGTAGCAGCTTTGGGCACAGCTCCACAGACCTGCTTCTCCCTCCGGTGTTGTGTCAGATCCCAGTTCCCCCTCGTGCTGTGTCTCTCCTACTGTTTCCCACGGGGCTCTGCCCCGTTTGAAGGGCGAAGGAAGCCCGTATGTGGAGAGACGTCGCCTCCGAGATGTAGAATGTGTATTATAGAAGAGAAACATACATTTCAGGACCGCTGACTTGTATCATCAGCCTCCTTTCATATTTAATAGAGGGGGGACAATACCTGACAGTAATATTCTCAGCTGTCAGGATGTGCCTGCTGAGAGGGGTAAATATAATCATAGAAGGCTGAAAATCACAGGACATGTCTGTTCTGATTTTACAAGTCAGCAGTGTAAAGCTCAAGCATGTGGGGGCCTCCTTTCATATTCAATAGAGGGGGCCGTATCTTAAAGTACAGCTGTTAAGATGCGATATTTTTAGGTTACATCGCAAAACACAAAATATATCTTGATATTTTGAAATCTCCTCTAAACTACTGTAGACTATTAAAATACTAAAATACTACTGTTATAATAAAGTTAAAAGGGTTCTTTGCCGATTTTCAACCAGCTTTGTATCAAAAAAATGTGGGTAGTATGTGTGAATGAACTGTGGTTAACATCCCTCCATCTAACTAGTGCCTAGATATCCCTCCTTGCCCCCGGTGAAACTCTGGCGGACGACGTAATATACTTTATCAGTCTTTGTTTCACTGGCTCTTGGGCTGTTGCTCAAACTACAGGTTGTACCTCCACATTTTCGTATTGCCCGCCACCCATGCCGCCACTGATGACACAAAGAGTATAGCGGCAGATCAAGAAGCAGACCCACCCATCTCTCTTTCTCGCTCCCTGTGCTGTTCGAATATATACCAAGATTATGTTACTGCATTGCCTTTTTCCTGCCTGCAATACTTTTAGAAACATATTTTAGTGTCGTGTTTAGCTGTAATAGTGAGAGTTTGCGAACAGGAAGTGGGTGCCATACTGTTTCCTGCACAGTAAAAATTAAGGCTGAAAAAACTCAGATCAGTCAGTAAAATCAGTGCTGATCAAATATAAAGCAAGATTTTTAGCTTACTGTTTAACTGTAAGAGATAGAGATCAGTTCTTTACAGCCGGCCGCCATTGTTTTGAACAGACATGTCATAGTTGTAGGTTTTCTCCCTCTTCAGCAACAGCATCCTTTTTCTTAGTTTTCTTTGGTTCTGTAGCACCAATTTCAAAAGTATTTGCGGCTTTCTACAGCACAGATATCCTAGATTTATTAAAGGCTGTCTCTCCAGCAGTAAAATACTCCTTGAAATATACAACTGTTCAAAAAATTTCTGTTATAACAAGCTTAAAATAAGTACCGTTATAAAAAAAAGTTATTTAAATTACTGTTGTAATAAAATTAAATAAAGTACTGTTATAAAAAAGTTGAACAAAGTGTTGTTGAAATAAATCAAAGCAGAACCACTGGTGCTTTTATTCTGAAGCACTCGTCTCGTCTTGGGCAGAAGTGTTGATATTTTTGCTTGAAGCTTGTGGTGTTAGCAGTTAGCGAAAAGTTATAAGTTAAACCGTAACAGAGGCACTATTAAACGTGAATATTTATTCACTTAAAGCAGGAATCAAACTTAACAGCTCTCCAGCTCCGTGGTTGCTAAGTGCGACTAGTGTTAGTGATCTGGAGCCCTGCAGGCACAAAATCACACAACTCACCCGCTCACACATTGTTACCCAGGGTGGGCGGTTGAGTGTGTGTGAGTCCTGTTTGTGTTTTTATTTCTTTAAGAGGGAGAGAGTCATAGGAGAGCACAAGAGAACCGAATGTTAAAACGAGTCTCATGCTGGTGGCTTAAAAAAATGACGTGACAGTTTTTACTGGATGTTCGTGACCTAGTCATTTTATACATCCCACGTGGAACAAACCATGATGCATAGAGTATAATGGATGTATCACTTCCCCCATATCCTGTGTGTGTGTCAGGGCTGTTTTTTTTCTCAGCTATACTGTACATCTAAATAAATTTCTCCTGCATGCTGTCTGTGTTGGCGCCAGCTTTTATTGAAGGCAACAGCGAGCCAGACGGACAGTGCCTGTGCAGAATGCAGATGGTGCTATCTGGTCTCGCTCTCTATAGACACCAAGCCAACCTCAGCCTATCTTCTTTTCTCTGCTCCTCTCTTTCCCTTTTCTCCCCCCTCCGCAAGTTCTCCTGCATAATTACCTCATATCGTCTCTCTTGAAGCAGAACTTGGAGTCAGAACACTCGCCGTGCATGGGAGCTGGCCCATTCACTCCAAACCCGCCTTTGTCTCTAAATGCCCCTTTTGTTCCCCTCATAATTACCATTCAGAGAGAATGCCATACACTCCCAAATGAGCAAGAAAGTAGCAGCTGTATGGGCTATGGCACAGTGTAGCACGCTCCCCTTTTCCTGATTGCCTTGTGGTTCTAAGGAGAAATCATAATCGCACACTGGCACACAATTGTGACTACAGACTGGAGCTTTCTTATTCTTTTTTTAAAATCCCAGCTACATGCAGACGTTTGGCCTGCATTTTGATGTTGTAAAGTCAAGTCCAGGGAGGAGTATCAGCATCCATCTTCTTGTCATCATTTATGTTTCATGTAGACAGTAAGAGGTAATTCAAGCAGTGGTAGATGGTTGAGCCAGTCTGTTACCACATTACTTTCCCTGGGACTGTGCCATCTGTCCGACACTGAATCAGTTCATGGGGTTATTTTGGTTTCATTACAAATTTGGCTCCATGCATAGTTCATCACTGTGAAGGATCAATAACTGCAGTCTTTGCATGTGGTAATAATGATGATTGGAGGGGGGGTAAATGATCCATTTTGATTATTTTTCCATGTTTTCTAACTGTGAGGGCAGTTTTGTAGCTGTGTGGTGGTGAAAACAGGCAACATGGAGATGAGTTTGAGATGCAGCTCAGCACTGTGTCAGATTTTACTTGTCACAAATCTGTAATTAATGTTGTCTTTTGGTTGGGCGCCTTTCAGACGTTGAAAGGACTTAGAAAATCAGTTTCAAGGTAAATTTTGACAGTTGGTGGTTTCAAGTTGGGTTCAAATAGTTTCAAGTTTCAAGTTTCAATTACAGTAATAAAACATTTGTTCAACCAAAAATAACCCTCCCATTTTGATTCCTGCGGCTTCATTCTGACTGATACGATAATTCCTTTAATACCGTGATATAAAACCGCAATATTTTTTGAGATGGTTATTGCACTGTGAAAATCTCATACCATTGCAACCCTAGACTGAAGTATATAACGGCCATTCCCATGCTCAATTATGTCTCATAAATTGTTGCAGCAATTTTGGGGTTGAAACAGATTTGGTGTTTAATTCAAGCATTTTTAACCACTTTAGAATTTATAAAAATGGCCAAAAATCCATCCAAAAATATTACATTATGATATCAAGACCTTGAGGAACACCATAAAAAATCCATATTGTGATTTGGGACCAAAAAGTTTTGGCATTTGGAGATTTCTATAAGAATTGCATTTGTTGGCAATTAGATTGTGAGCACTTCTGTTCCAGAAACTGCTGAGAAATAGGGATGGGCATTGTAGGTAACTTCCGTATTTGAGTACTAACATTAAATTATTAAAGTACCTGAGTACTTGCTATTAAAAAAACACTAACGTAAGAATAGCAATGTAAATTTGCCAACAGTGGAAATCAAGTGCAATTTGAAGAATACATTTATTAAACATCCAGGCTCAGATTTGTCTATTAAATCAATTGAAAGTTCATATGAGAAAAATCTGCCATCTTTCTGTCTCTGCCGTTAACGTTACATAAGTTAGACGCAGCACTGAAGGACCGCCTCTGAGCCACTCCCTCCAGAGTCACTTTAGTGCTCAGGTAGCACAAGCTAACACAGCAGCAGCAACTAACATCACAACTTCGGCTTAGTGAAGCAAT